GAACAAAATTAAATATCTCTGGTCTTTCAGCACATAATTCTTTTGTCCAAAATTTTAAATAGTCCTTTGCAAGTGGTATTTCTTCTAACATTCCTTGAAAATTAAATTGTTTAACATCTTTTAAAGCTTTATCCACATACACAGTGACACCATGATCTTTACCAAAACGAGGGGTGGTAATTAAATACATGACTAATTTGCGAGTAAGATTAACCAAACGTAAATTTCCTGGTTTTGTGACTATCATAACAGTTTGCATACTGCTTTGAATTTGAGCTTGACCTATTAATTATAATTATTATTAATAAAAGATAGAAAATTTTTGAATGAATAGAAATAATAACATACCAAGTTTTTTTGATAATTCTCTTACACTAACTGCAGTCTCAGCTAAATTTGAATATTCTGTGAGATTATCGTCACAATTATTAATAATTTCGGATAACGAAAATGATCGATTAAGATTAGAATGAACAAAACAAGTTGATTTTGGTGTTGAGTTTGTAAGATTGGTATGTGAACCATGTTTGTTTAAATTTGATGATGTCATTATTTTCTCTGATTGGTTAATGAAATTTGTGATTAATAATCAGACTTTTTAATTAAAAAAAAAAAAAACAAAAAATAAATATATTAAAAGAATTTTCTCAGAAACTCAATATATAACGATATTGTCATAGATTGACATACCTGATATCTTTATTAAATTATTAAATTTTAAAATAATTTTTAATCTTTATTACAAAACTATAATAATAGTAGTAATATATAAATTAGAAATGATAAAATGTTTCTCTATCTGTATTATAAGATAATGGCAACATTTGACAGACGCGGAGGTTTTATATGGAAAAAATTAATTAAATAGATTCGTATCACGTTTCATTATGTAAATCATTTAATTTTCCATGAATTATTGATTACTAGTATTACTAGTGACAAAAAAGTGTTATTTTGAAACCTGTTATTTATCTAATATATTATTTTATTTTATAATATTGTATATGATTTATTAATATATCAAAACCATAATTTCATTTGAATATTTTGCTTTTAATCCATTTTCATTTAATGGTTCAAAATCCTGAGGTTTAAATCAAATATCAAGCGTTTAAATATATATTCTCGTTTTATTTAAACGAAATATTTTTCTTATTACATTTAATTACATTGTAGAAAAAAAAAATATTAAAAAAAGGTTATCAAAAATTAAAATGCAAGATAGTGTGTTCAGAGTATAACTTACCTTTTCGAGATTAATTTTAAAGTTATGTCACACATGTAACTCAGGAATTTATTGCCCGTATCTGGTATTTAGTATCAATTCTAAGCTTTATAAGGAAGTTAATTTGAATATATCTTTTTCATATAACCAATATTCTGCTATCAGTTTCAATTTCGATAAGATTATTATTCACGTGAAGCAAAAGCGCTAATATATAATTGTGAATACTGTATTCCATTTTAGTGAAAAAATATACATATATATTCTTCATTGATATAATAGATCGGAAGTTATGGGGTTATCTTCACTTTATAAATTGTATAAAAAAACTTTTTTTGGAGGCAATGCCGATAAGAAAAGGAAGCATTCAAATTCATGACATATTGAAGTAAAAGGTTTCTTTTCTACTTTTTTTCAATTCATTGTTTTTTAAAAAGGAATGCCAATTGAGATTAAATTAGAGGATTATAGGATTATAATGAACACTCGGAACTGATAATAATTTTGTGATCTGCGTGACAACAGTAACCACTCGTGAATTTTTATTTAAATTTATAAAAAATAGATCGGTGTATTTTTTTATTTTTTTATATTGTTATTATTTAATGAAATTTGTTATTTAAATTTATGAAAAATATCTTTTTATTAATGAAATATATTTGGATGGTATCTAGAAATAATTTCTAATCTTTGATATCTGATCTATCGAGATGAGATATCTCAATATTATTTTTTTCTGTCATCTGATCAACCCCTTTTACCTATCCTTCTGATTTACTCATCAAATGTATTGCAACACCTGATTTTTGTCTCTAAAAAATTCTACGTTTATAAAACAAGAACTTGTTCCAGATCTTAACGAAAAATGATATCTATAACAAACGGCCAATCAGAAACTGAACGATGTTATTGTCTGGAGATTTTCACCTAAAATTTCCTGATGGAGAACTATCATAATTCCATCCAATAGTTGCAATAAAAAAAAAGCATGCTTCTAATAGAAACATTTATATATCAGGCATGTATTATCTGTAACCATATTTTAATATACAATTACACGAAAAGACTAATTATATATATAAATCTTACCATATGGCATTTTTTCAGGTTCTATAAGACACTAATACATTATTAAAATGTTTAGTTCAAGTATTAAGGTAACTTTGTATGATTGACCGCAAGAAGTTTGAATAGAGTTTATGCAATATTACGGCCCGCCTAATTTCTGATGTTCTTTATTTTTAATTAACGCAGTTGTTGTAGAATATTATACATGTTTAAAAGGGAGAATAGCACATTTTTTTTTATGTTCTCGGATTTTTTACGAGTAAGTTATGATGAAATATAAGGCTCATTCATTTCTTTTTTGAACTTGGCCTTATTTTCAAAATTCGCAACAATAAATATATAAATATATCTTTATTATTATGATTAATTGTCGAACCTAACAGAATAAAAATAATTGTTTACAAGAATTAACATCATCGTAAACCAATAGACAAATAAGTAAATAAAAAAAGAATAAATAAATCATAAATAATAATAGCAAGAACTTGTATGATATGAAAAAAGATAAGAAAATCAATATCACAAATTTTCATTATCATCAATGTAACATTCACAATATTCTCCGAGTTGGCTTGCATTTAAATTTTCTGCTACATCTTTTATATTATTCACGTTTGATCTGGTGACCATTCGAGAGAGCTTTAATTCCATGAGTTCTTTTAAATGATATAATTCATAATCGATTGCCAACGCAAGTAGTTCTCCGTATAATACGAAATTTGGTGTTTGATTTGCTGTGTTCTGATGATTCAAAATTGCATTATCGATATTTTGGCCATACAAGTAATGCAACAAGATTCGTACCGAGGTTGGATTAAATTCATCATCAATAACGATTGTAACTGGGTTAGAGTTTGCATATTCTCCTCCTGGAGTGAATTTCTGATGAAAAAATTCAGAGCTTGCAGCAAGCATAATTCGATTTGTCCATACTTTCTCGCCTTTTACATTAAAAACAACGTCATGCAAAGAGTTCATCTGATTGGATAAAATTCCCAGCAGGACTTTTTTGTTAGTGCTTGACTGATCATGTTCTCTAACTTGTATTTTGACACTTGGTGTTTTTATTTCTTGGACGCCAGCACTTTTTAGCATTAAGTAATACTTTGCCAGGCGAGGATTTATATATTTATCTTCACCTGGTTCAGCATTCAAAACCAAATTGTTTGCAGAAACCCAGTTGTCAGTATCAAATGGATCATGACTTTTATTAAGGTTAAGGAATAATGGTTCATCTGCTGTAATGTATCTCCTCAACATCAAACTTTCATCTAAACATTTTTTTTCAAGCCATTCATAAACCTCAAAAACGTTAGACACGAATGTTTCTTTCCAATAATTTCTCCATTCTTCATCATTGATAAGTTTATTACGCAGGAATTTAAGTTGCTTGATTACCGTGATATCACTTGGTTTACCAAGTGATGGGTATTTTTTAAGTACATTCGGAGGTGGTATGACATCTTCCGCGATTAAAGCCTTTTGACTCCACGCTACACCTTTATATTGAGGAAGAATTATATTATTAAAACAATCCAAAACTTGAGGGTGATTATAATACTTATCGTAAGGGTTGTGCAAATATTTAGCAATTGGAACGAATGGAATCCTATCAATTTCTTTAAAATAATTCACTTCACTATAAAAGTGATCGACCAACATGAAACCACGATGGCGTATATCAGGTGGTGGGTTGCCCATCTCTTGCATTTCTTCGATTTTCAAAGCACATCTATTAAATGCCTTTGAATCCAATATGCCATTGAATCCGATATTTGTTAATTTTTTTGCATGTTTTACAAGATTAAAATGAAGGAAAACATTTGAGTTTCTTCCGAATACAGTTCGAAAAACAATATTATCATAATTGTATAGTTCAGAAATCGGCATCAGGTCTTCTGTAAATGCATTGGGAAATTTAAAATCCTTTAACCCTGGTGTGATTTTACATGCAGAGTCAGAAGTTGCTCTATCTATAACGGAATTCAGAAAATCCACATAGCCATTATCACTTTTTTCAGGTAAGTCAACATCATTAAATGCGTAGTCATGAATTCCATATTGGGTAGCGTCAAGATCTTTCAAAATTTTAACGTCTATCTGATCAGTAATTTTTAAAAAAATTTTATTACTCTTTGTTCTATACATTATAAATTCCTTGGGTAAAAGGTACCCAATTGAAACTGGGGCATGACGCAACTTTAGATTTGTCATTGAGGGATTCCATCGCACTGGCCAAATAGGTAATTTGCGGATCATTAATTTGAATTCCCTTTTCGTTCCTAAAAAGCAATATAATATTTGTGTATGTACATTAGTTATTATTAATGTTATGCTATTGAGATATCAAAATTTTCTAAATTTTCAAGAAAGAAAAATTAAAAAAGAAATATTACTGAAAGACTAACTAATTCTAACTAACTAATAAACTAACCTATTCCATCCCAATTATTTCGTAGTAATTGATAGAAATTTTCAATATTATTAATTGTCAAGCACTTGAAGAGAATGTCTACACGGTTATCCTCTTCAGAAAAATAAACTTGTCGAGAATGTTGATAAAAATGATCAGGGTTTATCAATTGGAAAATGATTTCAGATCGTAGCATACATTGGAGTACCTTGCAACCATAGTTAAATACGTACTTTGGAAAATTATGAGAAGCAAGTGGAAATGGCCAAAACTTTGAAATGCAGTTTTTGAAATCAATTTTTTTATGATTTTGCAATTTAATTATTTCTTCCAAGAGCTTGCAATGAAGATTGGGAAGGAACTCAAGTAGGATATGTCTATTCCAATTGAGTTTCTGATGATCCATATCTGGCAAATCGTTATCTTCTTCAATCAACAATCTTGCCCGATCTGAACCTTGAGCCCAGGTTCCATTAAGGTGAACAGACAAACATGTGGTGTCAGGAAGTGAAAAGGTGGAAAACAATCTTCCTTTAAAGTCACTCTGCTTTTCATTTACTGGACTCAAAAGTGAATCCTTTCGTCGAAATATTGATTGAACTATGGATTTAGGTTTTAATGGAATTTTAATCGATTTTCCTTCTTTGGAGTCATTCTGAATTTTGTTTTTATTATGTATTTTGCATTTAAGTAAAGCAGCGACGCCTCCCAACACACGTAATCGATATCGTTTTGCATATCTTTTCAATTCAGAATCTTCAGGGTCAGGTTGAGCACCAGTTACAATAATCCATTGATCATTTTGTACGTTGTTCAAATTATCAATCAGTTCAATTTCCATCTGAAAAAATCGAACATCTCCATTCACAATATGTCTTCTATTACTTCGTATGCTTTCATCCAATCCATTTACAGTTGCCTTCCAGAGGGAATCTATTTTAAAAAAAGGTGTGTCGGATAAAGATATATGTGACACTTCAATTTTTTCAATATTCCGTAAAAATAAAAACTGGGAAGTGACGGTTGATCTTATTTTTTTAAACAGTCCAAGAACTTCCTCTGCGGAAAAGATCCTATCAGATATTTCGCTCGGTCGTTGCCTAAGTGGAATCCGGAAGAGCGTTCCATCAAAAGTTGATTTAAAATCAATTCCTTTGATGCCTTCGTAAGGAACAAATTGATCTCTTTCAGAAAGATTATGAATGCCTTCTTTGGGAAAAGGGCCAATGATACCACGTTGAGGGAGTTCATTTCTCTTTGGTAGGAATTTTTCCTGAGGATCCATAAATGCAATAGAATCACCGCTGATGAAACTAGGAACATCTGTAAAGTGGTAGCACGAATTGAAACCCAATCCATGCTTTCCAATTTTTGTATCATCATCTTGCTTTCCCCCGACACGTATCCGCATGAGAGAATCAAAATCGGTATTTTTGAATCTTGCATCGTTGAATATCAAAATGGCAGGTCCTTGCCATGCCTTCATCCCATCACAGAGTAAAGAACTGGTAGGGTGTGAGCGACTATCAACGATTACATGAAACTCTTTTGCACCAGCATCATCAGCTATCGTTTATATATACAAAAGTATAAAAAAAAAAGTAAAGTATAGATTTAAAACAAATTGTTAAAGAACTCAGAAATCATCAAAGTACTGTAAAGCTGATTCTGACCATTCTGAAGGAATTCTTTGAATACACTTTCAAAGGGATAATCCTAACAAATGCAATGAAATTAATCTTAAAGAACATGATAATGACACTTAAATATATATGAACATACCTTTATGATATTACGAATGGATGAAATAAGAGTTTCATGTTGACCATAAGACTTAAATTTTGAATCCAAAGTCATGGTTTTTTTTTCAAAACAATTGGAATTCTAAAGCAAACTTATGTAAATTTTTTGCCATCTCAATTAAACGGAGCAATACATCATATCCACCGATATCATTGTTTACATTATGTTGTGTATTTGTTTTTTTTTCTTTTAAGAACGTATATGCAATGATAAAGGAAAATGATGTATCATATGGTCGAATATGTTCGATAACTCATATGTAAAGATACTAAAATGTTAAGATAAAAAGAATTAAAGAATGGAATTGTAAAATATTATACTTAATCTATTTATTCGTTATTGATAAATTTATTGCTTTACGTGCACGTGCGAAATTATTTTACGAAAGAAAGAAAAATTCGATGGATTTATTTTTTAAATTTTTATATGGATTTAATTTTTTCAATTATTGAAGCTCCGCATCTAGTTCTCTTGTTATTGTTTGTTTCTTATGTTCCGTAAGTTCTCTATATAATTTACTTTGACATAAACGGACTATTATATCAAATATCCATTGATAAATATATTAATTAAACTCAATCTGGAACATCGCCAAATATACGCGCATAAAATCAAAGAGGTTTGTAAATTCGTGAGACGATAACATAAATAAAGCAAAACATAGTATGAATAGCATTAGATAAGACTCTGCTATAATTAAATCTTTCAAAATAATTTATGATATCTGAATGTTCCAATAAAGATGCCAGTGAAAATAATATAAAAAAGTAGACTTATAATGTATTGGATGACTTCGTAATAAATATACTAAATAGTTTGGCACGTGATCTTTGTCTCGTTCAATTAACTAATCTATTTTGCTTTCTTGGCAAAATAAACAATTTTTTTATACAATTTGCTCATTACCTTTCACTTTCCCCTCTCAACTATTCTTTTCACATCCTCATGCTCCCTTTTTTAAAGTTATTTTTGTCATCACGTGAAAATAACCACTATTGATTTACCAACAATTTCATCTTACCTTAATCTTTTGTCTGAAGATATATTAAATATTCGATATCTCGAAAAGATATTATTTTCAAGTCTCGATTCGATAGCTAATTTTTATTGTTATTATCACGTTACTACAAAAACAACTGACAGGGCCTTGGCTAATCAGTTTCCCAGGTTTATTGGGCAACGATGGGCTTTTTAGTTTTAGCTAACTCTTTTATGCAATTAATTGTTTTATAAATTGTATATTTATTTTTCAATGTAATAACAATCCTGGAGTGAGGCTCTGTTGGTTAAAAAAAAAATATACTGTACTTATTATCTTTATATATTTAGAAGTTTAGGTAAATTACTTGAATTATAAAAATGCATGGACTAGGAATAGAAGGGGCGAAAGTCAGAATGGATAAATCAGCAGAATGAATATTGTTTCGGTTTAATTAATTAATACGAGGCAACCACATTTGCAGCCAATCTTCATAAAAACAATAAAAATGTACTGAAAAGTTTATATACGCTTTATTGTAATAAAAGTGAAGACAATATATTACATATAATTTATAACAAGTTCCAGTTTTTACATGAAATGAATGATGTTTAGGCGTGTGTCTACAAAAAATGGAATTTTTTTTTATATTATCCTCTTCTACAAAATCAAAAAAAAATTATAAAATATCACGAAACAATTAATAAAAGTTTACAAAAGCAAAACATAAATAAACTAAGAAATCTTCATGTAATTGGAAAACTCATTCTATCGGCAGTGGACGGGTCTGAAGAGCGATATACATGCCCTTTGGATGGGGTTACGACCTCGTTCAATCACCCAGTACTCCTGATTACGATTGGGAGATGTTTTAGTTACGACTCGGGTGGTTCCGTCCTGTACGAATGATTTCCTTTCAATTGGAAGTGAATATGGGTTACGACTTGCTTTCAACCACCCAGCACTCTTGATCACGATTGAGAGATGTTTGAGTTACGATTCGGGTGGTTCCATCCTTGCAATTGTAGTTACACGAACTGAAATTTGTATTGGTTAAGGTTTGATAAATTTGGCTTTTCTAACTAAATAATACATTAATAGAGGGAAAAGAAATCACCAACTACATCAGAACGCGCAACTTCAATGGTATGGAGAATTATTTTAACTATTTATCTACCTATTTAATCAACTGAACTTCTATTTATAAAATTCTTTAACAGTTGTATGCTTAATCCTCACAAATGCGCATTGCTACATCATACCACATTTAATCAAAAGTAGGGTAGATTAAGAGCATAGACCCATTTATATATGCTCGAAGGTATAATGTAATTTTATAGTGGACAATGTAGACCGAAAACACAATAGGAATCAATCTAATGTACATAGAATTGGGTAAAAGATTTTGTATCAAGGAGGAAAATTCCATTATCCTGGCATATGGATCTTTTTTGCTGATTACGATAAACAATATCCTCAAGTTTTTTGACATCTTTATACCAGCTGGTATTATGAAACTGATGTTAAGCCCTTGCACTTCCAATGTGATTCGATATTTTTGAAAGAAGCAGCAAGCTCTAATCCATTTACGATTTTTTCTTATGTTGCATATCTTTCTATAATTGATTCGTTTTTTGCAGTGCGTTCAGGACATTCTTAGCCTCAAAGCTCAGTTTTCTTAATAAATAGTTTAGCTTTTCGAAATAATCTCAGATTACATTTTTTACATATTTGATAATATATTCAAAATGGATATCTGCATGTTTCTTGCAGAGTAGCGATATTTAATAAATATCGAGAACCTTTAATCATATCTTAATAATCTTAATAATAAAAAATTAAAGATTTAACATTTATGTGGAAAAATCAACATTTTAAATTTTCGAAATATCATACAACTGGTTATTTATCATTCATGCATAATTTACAAAATTACAAAAAACATTATGACTGTTTGCATTAAACTTAATAATACTATTCTTTGGCTTTTCCTTTTTTCTTTGGTTGTTTTGATGGTGTTTCTTTGGTTTTCATATTGTCTGACAAACGTGGTGGAGGAGTTTTAAATCCATCATTATTATCAAAAATAATATCAAATTCCCGAATAAGAGAATTAATTAATCCCTACATTTTATTAATCAGAACAATAATCAGAAATTTTTCATGTTATAATTCTAATAAAAAACCAAACCTCACCCGAATATTCCACACTGTTTTTAATGCAGATTTCAGACTTTTATATGAAGAAAATGATATTGGTAGGTCAAATGATTTTAAATGGTGAAGAAAATATATTTCGTGTTTCTCCATTAAATAAATTTGAACTTCTGTCATATATATCTAATTAATGTAAGTAAAATTGATAAATATAATAACTTTTCACATCTAAATTCAAGGTATTACACTAAAAATACCTGGATTCCGATTATATATAATTTAGGATTGTTTGCATAATAAAATTTTAACACCAAATCATCAAGCATATCCTTCATCATACGTGGTAAATTAAACTGATCGGAAGCATACTTTGTTAAGTCGTAAGCATGTGGACCACCACATACTAATCCAAAAGCAATTTCATTTCGTTCATATTTACACAAAAAGTCTGCTAGGTGACTTCGTGTTACTTTTTCAGTATTGATATCTTTACTATTGTTACGACGAAATTGGGTCGCTAAGACAGATATCTCTCCCCTACATCAAGGACAACAGAAAAATTATTATTCTATATAAGTATTTAGCCAGTAATATAAATTATCTGCCATTTATTAACTTACCATGGGACAATACAATTGTCATCTAAACTCAATACGCCTTTTATTAAAGGAATAATATACTCACCTGTCCATTCACGCTCATGACAGTCATTTACTAGAGGATTTCGAAATGACTCAAATGCATTTAAACTATAACAATAAACAAGAGTTAAAAAATTTGTTAATTAATAAAAATAATAAGAAAGTCCCTAACATACAATTGCCCAATTACTCGTTCAATCCAACGTCGGATTTTTTCCCAGTCATTTTTTGCATATGATAATTCATTATATGTAGGAGCAACCATATTTCGAAGTTCATACCACTTCAAACGAGCTTGAGATAAGTTCATCTAAAATATTGATTAATCCAAAAAAAATATTAATTTAATCCGAGGTTTCATTTTTCAAGTTACATATTCTTACATTATTTTCAAAAAAGTGCGCAATTAAGGGTTCAATTTCGTGATGATAAGTTTTTCTAACTGCATCGGGTCTTTTACACACGCACACACACACTTTGTCAAAAACTCTGACCACTGTTCACAACTAAATTCATTCTTTATTTTTGATGATGGTGATAAGTCCAGAATGAAACTGTGGGCCGGGCTATAAGAAAAAATTATAAAAACATCAGCGGTAATCAAAAGATATCATTGACTTATTATTATAACTTACTCGTATGGTGAAGTTGTTTTTCTTGTACAATATTGTCTCAAAACGGATAATAGTGATAAATCATTAAATTTAGTTGTTGTAAACAAGTCTCGGGTGAAACATTTGTAAGAAGAGATAATACAAAGTTAGATGAATAACATTCTTCTGGACTTTCTGCATCATATCTATTTTTGTCTCCTTCATTGTTGTTTTCTTGTTCTTTAATTAATAGAGTTATTAATAAGGAACATATATATATATAGATCCTTTACATATTTGTGTTTACAATTGCAAATTTAACCTATTCAATTTACCATTATATATGTTAAGTGATATATTTCGTGTTAAAATATTTGTAGGACATGGTGTACTTTCGCCAAAGTTATTTTCCGAATGAATTGACAATCTTGGATCATTCTCAGATATATTATCGTTCAACTTATCCTCACACTTGATGACATTTCAAACATAATATAAATATATAGAACAAGATAATTTAACATTTATATAAAACAGTAAAATTTATTAAATTAATTACATAATCTAAGTCCGATAAATCGAGACTTAAATTATCAGCATAATTTATTTTTTCTTTCCTCCGTGTCTAAAATGCCATTTGTTCGAATGTTCTCCTTCTTAAGGAAAATAAAAAAAATTTTTCCCGGTTAGAAAAGCACCTTTCAGATTTATAATTGATCGTTATAGATCTACCTCGTCCTGTAATAAAAAAAAAAGAATATTAATTTTGATATGTTGAAGATTATAAATGAGCAAAATATGGCAACAAACGCCAAAATACTCTGTAAGATTTTTAATTTCTTCATTTTGTTCTATATTAGTTTTAATTTGTGTACATCCGATCCGAAAGATAAGAAAATGTAGTTACTTTTGCAGTTCAAATACTATCTACAGGCTGCAAGCTAAATGTGGATTTATTCTGTACTAACCTTTTTGACTGTTTCTTGTGTAATAAATTCTTTTTCTTTTTCAGTTGTGCTAAACTTTTTTTGATGAAGAACCATCTGCATCCTCATTCTCTAAGTGGCTTGTAAATTTCTCTCGTATTAGTTGATCTTGTTGGGAAGTTAATTTTAAAACCGTAGTAGCATGTTCCTCCTGCAAAAACGGAAGAAGCAAGAAGCATACATTATTGTTTCTACGCAATATACGTGGCATATCGAAAAAATAATTCTTCATACCATTAAAGTTGCGCGCTCTGATATAGTTGTAAACTTTCGCTTTTGTGATGATGTAGCACTCTCCCAGAACTCAGTGATTAATGATGATTTCTTTTCTTTCTATCAATGTATTATTTAGTTAGCAAAGCCAAATCTATCAAACTTTAACCAATACAAATTTTTCAGTTCGTGTAATTAAAATTGCAAGGATGGAACCACCCGAGCCGTAACTCATGCACTTCCACCAACCGTAATCAGGAGCGCTGGGTGATTGAACGCAGGACGTAACCCCATCTGAAGAGCATGTCGCTCCCATAGACCCATCCACTTACAATTTAATAGAAAACTATTCGTGCAGGACGGAACCACCCGAGCCGTAACCATACACTTCCCAACCGTAATCAGGAGCGCTGGGTGATTGAACGCAGGCCGTAATCCATCCGAAAAGCATGTCGCCCCCTTAGACCCATCCGCTGCCGATAGAATGAGTTTTCGATTACAATTATGTGACATAATAAAGAAAAGTACTTAACCTGAGATAAATTAAGTGACTTAGTAGATTGGGACACTATATACGTAGGCGTATTCTTCCAACTTATTATTTAAGCTAAGTCACGAGAGTAGCGATCGTGCTCTTCTACTTTATCGAGTAGAAAATTAGAGCATTGTTGGCGGTAAAGTAAAAAACTCATAAGGGACCATTCGCGTCGAGTTTTAAAGCATTCGGGATCGCTCAATGGGATTTCTAGTAAGAAAATTTTATAATTACTGAAGGTAAAAGCAGAATATGCCGAGTGTAAACTTACCGTCTATTGTTTCGGTTAACGTAGACGTATTTTTTTCTTCTGAATACATTACTTTTTCACTTATTTGACATAAAAAATAGATTATCAGTCAAGACGCGTGGTGAATGATTTTGTCACACGCAGATTTTTGTGATACAACACGTGATCTACACAAATCCCAATAATGATCAACAGTATTGCATATTATATGACCCAGACAAATTTTATTATTTAATTATAACCAATATTTTTATTACAATTTCTTTACATTACATATTAAATTCGATATTATTTTCAATCTTAATGATTGAAAGTTGTTCACATTTTAAATTCAAGTCCGGATGCTCTTTCAATTTGTTTAGGAAGGTCAGGTAATGCATCATCTCCATAGATCTAAAATTGAGAATATTATTATATTTGTAAAAGTATCATTTATAACAAATGTAGTTAAATACATCAATCAATGTTAAAACCTACTCCTTTAATAAAATCACAAATGCTTGATTCGGAAAATTCAATCTTTGCTCTTGGACCCCATCGGTATTCGACAGGATCTTTTTCTGATGTTCGGGAATTTTCAATTGCACTAACTTTCTGTTTGTTCAGATAGCCTTGTTTAATGAAAGTTGCTATCAATTTGGTTGTATCAAAGGGTTCGTTTCCAAGGCGAAGTCGCCGGAAGTAATGATCAAGTTGATCTACAAAATTTACAAAGTTAATATTAAGTGTTAAGTGAAGTTATGAAAAAAAAACCCCCCCGAATCATTTACCATCCGATAATGTTCTTCCGTTCACGTGAATCAAGCTGAGAATGACCGTAAGAAGGCCCATTTTTTCCAATTCTTGATTTTTATCCCATTGAATTAAATTAATTTCTCTGAGCTTCTTTGGAAGAATATTTCGCAACATAAAAGATTTAGCGGATGCATTTTCTTTTTTTATGACACCTAAATTTTATAAATTAAAATTTTTTTTTCTTAATGACATGAAAAAAAGAAATTTAAAAAAATTGAGAAGATTAAAAAATTTTGGAAATAAATTTTACGTCGACGTGCAACGGTTGATTTTTCTTTTGTAGGCAATTCCTCTAAATCCATTCCGAATATGTCACGCAATTTTTCTTGAGCTTTTAACAGTACTACTGGAAAAGCTCTTGAATGATCGACCAACACTATTTTATAAAATAAATAAAATAAATATTTGAATATGAATTATGAAGAAGTCATGGACGTGAGCCTGATGGAACCACATAAATACATGCCTTTTCTCACCACTTCTTCACGCCTTAAAGGAACTTTGCGAAGTTCGCAAGCCAAAGCAAGTCGAACAACCTCTTTTACTTTACGATCAACTTCCTAATGATCAATGATTATTATCATTAAAAAATAAATGATTTCATTAAATAAAAACATTTATAATAATAATAATAATTACTTCGGTTGACATCTTTTTTATTGTTTTATCAGCAAGTGATGATGATTGAACGTTAAGTTCTTCTTGTGAAGAATCGCTCGAGGATGATGATTCTACAGGTTCACGTCGACTACGCTTTACAGGTCTACTAGTTTCTATATTATTTTGTCTCCTTCGTGTCCTTTTACTTGGACCTGCATCTTCTTCTTCACTATCCTTTTAAAGTAGAAATAGTTGTTATTTAAAAAATTCTTAATATTTTTTGTTGATTGCTTTTCTAAAGTTTAAATTTACATAATTAATATTGCGGTTACGACGGCTTGAACTCTGATAAAAAAAAAAATTTTTTTTCTGGGTTAGAAACTCCCTAAATGTAATAGTTATTTCCATAAATTGCAAAAAAAAAGATATATGCAAAAAGTAATAAAAATACCATTTTGACTTTATTCTTGTATTCGAACACTAATTAACTATTGTTTTTTTAACGCGCAAAGATAAGCGTGTGCTTGTTTTGACAAACGCAGTTTATATGATTACACGTTATTGCCATTTTAATGTATTATCCTGTTCATTGCGTTCTGTGTCACCACTGAGGTTAGAGTATAAATTAAGTTAAATTTGTTCTTTTTACAATTTCAAAACATTATTTAGATTCCAATTACCCAAATTATCCAAAATAATTTTTTCTTTCATTTAATGAATTTAGAATTAAGAAGTAAGATATCTATGAAGTTTATAATATTTTAAAGTGATGTTCTAACTTTTTTTAACTATCAGTTTTTTTTTTCGCGATCTAATTTTAAATTTATCTAAAAAAATTACAGGCCCTTTCGATCTTGATTATCCATCAAAATATGAATCAACTGTTAGAGACGGCCCTATACGTTGCATTAGCTTTAATAAACGGGGTACGATGCTAGCAGGTGGTTGTAGTGACGGTTATTGCATAGTTTGGGATTTTCAATCAATGAGTATTGTCCGCAAAGTGAAATGTCATGAGGGTCACATAACTAGCGTAAGGTAATCTTTTTTGATAATTATATTTTTGTCCATTTATTTAATTACATTTAATTATTTATGATGATAAATTAAATTTTATAAAATTGATCCTTTTTTTTTTTTTTTGAACAGTTGGTCACGTAATGGTTATTGTGTACTTTCATGCGGTGATGATGACAAGTGCGTTTATTGGGATCTTAAGAAAGGCACACGAAAAGTGATTGAATTTAATTGCCCAGTTCTCACGGCACAAATGCACCCCAAAAATAAGTTAGTAAATATAATTCTTGTATAATATTTATTTGAAATATGTATTTAAGCATATTTTCGCGGTTAATTCGTCAATGACAGTTCTATGTTTGTCGCCTCCTTATACCAAGAATCACCGGTAATCGTGGAATTAGGCGATGTAATTCGACATTTTTCCTTACCAACCAATTCTGATATATCATCAGAAACGAATGGAGGAGGAGATAAATTAAATTCTTCGAAGTACTGTATCTTGTACCAAATATTGATTCGTTCATCTTTTACTTGTTTAACCGGCCGGATGGACTTACTTGTTACTGATGATAGGCAATAATAATCCGCTCTATAGTAAAACAGTTATTTGTCGATATGACAAGAAAGGTAAGCGAATACTTACGGGTACTAGCCAGGGCTATTTAAATATAATCGGTTTGGATTCTCTAGAGGCAAGTAAATTTTCATTTTTTCATTTCTTTCTTTCTTCCTTCCTTCTCACCTTCCTTATATGTTAACCATTCAAAAAAAAAAAAATTTTTTTTATCATTATATTAGATAATTAATACGACCAGAATTAATAATTCGGCAATTAAAGAAATTATCGTAAGCCGTAATGGAGAGTAAGCATTATCCTTTGAATAATTAATTACAAGAAAATAAAAAAGAGACTCATAAGAAAATAATGATTCAAATTAGAATTATTATAATAAATTTATTTATTTGTTTATTTAATCAATTTTTTAAGAGATGTGATTGTACAAACTTCGGATAAAACTATTCGATTATATTGGTTAGATGACGAAAAGTTACGTAATTCGGAATTATTATTTGCGGAAACTGTCAATAAGAATAATTGGAATCAATGTTGTTTCAGTCAAGTTGGTGAATATATAATTGGAGGTGAAAAAAAATAAAAATAAAAATAAATAATATTTTTACATTCTTAATAAGAAAAAAAAAATATTAGTAATTGATAATATATAATATATAATCATTGATTATTATTTTTTTTTAGGATCTGCAAAATTGGCATCACACGAAATATACATATGGGATATAAGAACCACTAGATTAGTTCAAACTCTGCAAGGTCCATACGAAACCCTTATTGATCTTGCCCAACATCCAGTTCAACCAGTTATTGTATCATTGGATGAACAAGGAGCAGTACATACATGGACAACTCGTCATAAAGAAGATTGGCTTAATTGGGATCCAGGTTTTACAGAAATTCATGACAATATAGTATATGAAGAGAAAGAAGATGAATTTGATGTTTTGAGTGATGAAGAGAACAACAATTCACAAAATAATTCAATTCAAACTGATAACTGTGATAACGAAGAGATTGATGTGATAACAGTTGATAAACCAGAAAATTCGGATTCACCTGATGAAGATGAAGAATTTCTTGACTTATACCATTCTGAGATAAAAGAAGAAGTAGATGTTTATACAGTAGAAAATATCAGAAATGATGGTCCAGTATATAAAAGTAATACATATAAAAAGTAATTTATTAATTTTATTGAGATTTTATGACAAATTTACTAACGTAATAGATTTCTATTACTAATATTACAAATTTCTGTTATTATTGCTTTATGTTATGTTATTTCATATTTAGTTAATAAAAAAATGTAGAAAATGCAGAATTATAGTTGCAGTTTCTAAGAATGAATTATTTTTATATTAAAGTCATGAATTTAATGTATCAATATTAAACTTTATATCCAAAAATTTATATAAATATGATGTATGTTATCCCTCTTGTTTATTTCTTGTTATTTCTGGACATTCTTCAAAAAAAAAATTAAGTTATTGGGAATATGTATAGTACAAAGTACAAAATTGAAAGAAGAAAGACAATAAAAGAAATTAATGAGATTTCGCCACAATTTAGGTAGTAACCAGGAGTACATGCACATGATACGCGTATCGACAATATTACATAAGTTCTAGTTTTGTATTGTCGATCCGAAAAACCATATGTGCCCTCTTCAAATTTACGTCATAAACGTATATCATTTAATATGACCAAACATAGTTACGATAAAGATAAAGTCTGCACCTATAGTTTGTATATCACTGCGCAATTACTGTCATTCTAAAATTATTCCCAGGATCATCGTCGAAATAGTCACGTGTAGAAACCCAAATTTCTGGTATAATAAATGTTTACAGTGTTTTTTTTAATCGGTAATTTTTTGTTTCACACCTTTTTGTTGTTGCAACTGTATTTTTTTTTTGTTTTTTCGTAAAAATTTATTTTGTATTATTTATTTATTTATTTATTTATTTATTAATTTCGGAAAGTTCAACAATTAATATATTATACTATGTGTGATCACAACGAAAATGATAATTCAGAAATCATCGAAATCAATGAACAAGATAACTTTAAATTTTCGCTAGATTCTTTACCGAATAAACCTCCTTCACCTTCACCTTTAAATTCTTCTTCTTTGTCGATGACAACTTCAAATTTGAGATTTGGATTGCAAGAAGACTTGGGGAAAATTTTTGCTTTACAAGGAATTAATAATAATAATGTGACTTTTGATAATAATGAACAACAAATTGAACAACATTCTCATAATTATTATCGTAAAATAATACGTCCTACACCTCCTTCTCTTAACACTAACCTTTTATTGATGTCACATAATAATATCAATCATATTAATAATAATAATAATAATAATAATAATAATAATAATAATAATAATAATAATTCATCTTCATCCCCTTGTCAAGCTGATAGCCCGGATGATATTTCCAGTCATAGAAGAAGAGATAGTAACGTTTCAGCAATGTCAATACAATTACATGATATAGGATCTAGTCATCAACGACGTGATAGTAATGTATCAAATATGTCAATGCAATTAGATACTCCAACTCCTTCAAGTGGGACAGAATCTGGTAATGAAGATGAAAATAGGTTAGCCTATTTCCCCTTTACATTTTCACAAAAATCATTTACAAGGTCAAGACCAAGTACACCAACACCTACAACTCCACCACATTCAACAAATTTTTATTCCGCACCATCGGCAAGAGCAAGTATGTCATCTTTGATAAACCCACCTCCCCGAATTAGAAGGATGAGTTTAGACATAAGTATGGAATCTGGTTATTTAAATGGATCATCTGAAGGAAGAAACGAAAAGACAACACCTATGCATCGTGCTGTTAAAGCAAGAAGAGCTTCTCTTTTAGTATGCTGAATTATAATATCAAATTTAGTTTGAAATTTAGTTTTTTTTTTTTTAAAAAAAAAAAAAAAAAAAAAAAATTTATAATTTTTATTATTTAGCCCAAAACTAAATCTTTCCAACGAGTTGCTAATGAACTTCAAGAAGAATCTCGTCCAATTGAGACAGAAATCAAACAAGAGTACAAAACAACTAAAGTATTAAAGAACGAATTTGATTCCATGGACATTGGAAAATTACCAGAGGTTAAAAAACTTTATCATTACTTTCTCATTTATAAATAAACATTGAAATTCTTTTAATTTATTAATAATAATAATATTAAATAATATTATTTTGATTAGGATCTTCTTAATAATTGGATTAAGTTCAGAGACATACAACCGTCACCACCTCCATATACAGCTTCTAAATTAAATCCAGAAATTGATATATCGGTATTTATATGTTAAAATATATTAATTAATAACTATATTAATAAAATTATTAAATAAAATTTTTTAATAAAATTATTAATAAAATAATTAAATAAAATTATTAATAAAATTATTAATAAATCATTATTGAATTTTTTTAAATATTATCAATAGTATCGTCAAGATACACCTTCACCTACTTCCACTGTTGGACCATTATCCACGTGTAGTCGTATAAAACGAAAAGGTAATAAGATTTTCTCTTAGGATTAACAATATATATATATATATATATATATATATGATAAATATAAATATAACGTTATTATAATTCTTCATTTTTTTTATTTATATAGCTTCAGATGATCGATTCGAACCATATTTCAATCCTAAAAGAAGGGCCGTATCTCCAAGTTTGGTTGGTAGTCCTCCAGTCATTTCAGGTATTTCTTCACCATCGACAACTAATTGTAGTTCACCATCCTATTCTTCAGGAGTAACAGTATCACCAAATTGTCATATATCTACCACTTCAAGAGGTCAAGTTAAAGGAAATAATAGTAATTTATCGAGTATTCATGATGCTAATGGAAGTTTTAGTAGATTAAACTTAAATGGAGAATAATATTAATTACTTAATTTATAATTTATTTATTTTCAACCTGTAAAATAAAAAGAAATTTAGACTTTTTTTTTTATTATTATTATTAAAAAATAGATATTCCTTTTTTTTTTAAAAAAAAAAAAAAAAAAAAAAAAAGAAATAAAAAAAAATGTTGAATATTCTTTTATCTAAATAAATTTCTATAATTTTATTACGTGACATGATTAATCTAAGCTTTTTTAAAACTTTTCTTTGAATTACTACTTTTTATCATTACTAAAGATAAAAAGGCAATTACAATTGTTAGACCCACGAGTAATAAAACAACTGGTATTTTTATAGCATATGACCGAGGCGGGAAATATTCATGTAAATGATAGTCTTTATCCACGAAAGGCTATGATAACAATAAAATAAGTCAAATTATTTTTTATAAATATTTCAATAAAATGATGTATTAAAGAATATGAACCATAATTAAAGCCCATATCGTGTAATATGTAAAAAGAGCCACAGACGTGAGTAGCATAGTTGCTCCTAATGCCTTATCTGATGCCTGACAAGATAAAATGTTATCAATTAATAACTCAAGGTATTTTATTTTTTTCAATTACTGATTCAAAAAATTTACAAACCATTTCAAGTCTTTTATTTTTTAAGAAAAAAAAAAATTAAAAAAAAATTATTATTTAACTTATATATAATTTTTGTTAATTTTGTCAAAATATATAAATATATACACAGATTCCTCATGTGATCATTACGAATAAGTTCTTTAGTTTTAGTTTTAGTTTTAGTTTTGTCTATGTAGTAATAGTTGAACTAAATTCTATAAACTTGTTCTTTTGATTTACAAAGTTTATTTGAAATACTTGTTTGTTTGTTTATATATTTTGATTAAATAAATTCTCTTGTAACTTACATTTTGAGTATTTGAGAAGTAATAAACTCTAGTCCCAACATTTATTTATTCTTTCAAACATAATATAGTCTCTTACCTTGTTAAGTGTCAAGACCCTAGTGATACTTATATAAAATATAATTAAAAATTGTTTAAATTTAAATATTTAATAGATAATTAATAGATAATTAATAGATAATTAAGTTTCCCAACTTACCTTCAAAATTAAATTAAATTAAATAATTTACCACCTTTAAACTACACGTGATTTTCATATGGTTTATGTACAGATCTACTAAACTTATAAACTTAAAAAATGGATGATGTTAATACTTCTAATGCTAAAAGAAAACGTACAGTTGATATAGTCGTCGATTCACCAAACAACTTAGATTTAGAGTCATATATTTCTAATTATAAAGGTATTAAATTAATTCCACTATTTCCTCTTCTTTGTTTTTAACTAATTCTTTGAAATCGCGAAATAACGGGTTATACCTTTTTTTTTTAAGGACACACCAAGGTTGATCGGTTGCTCTTTATAGCAAAACGTTGTCCTCAACTTCAAATTGATGCATATAAACTTGCTTTACAAGAATTACGTGATAATTCTTTAGATCACACTCGATATGTCGCAGCTGCTAATAAACTTAATGAAGTTTTAGCAGCTCAAGGGTATCCTTCATACTCAATTGATTCAAATTGGGTGGATTCAACTCAGAAACGTGCAAAGGCTTTATTAGAAAGATTAGAGGTGGAATTAAAGAATTATAAAAATAATTTGATAAAGGAAAGCATAAGAGTAAGTAAAATAATCAATTCCAATAATCATTTCAATAATAATCACTTCACTTCATTTCGATAATAATTATTTCATTTCATTTCGATAATGATCACTTGATATTTTTAGATGGGTCATAACGATCTTGGTGATCATTATTATAATTGGGGAAATTTGACGAATGCATTGAAATGTTATTCTAGAACTAGAGATTACTGTACAACTGCAAAACATGTTATAGAAATGTGTTTGAATGTCATTAAGGTGAAAAATTTTTTGAAATTTTGATTTTACGATTCAGAAGATTTTCTTACACATTGTGTTTTTTTTTTTTTTCTTAGGTTTCTATTGAATTAGGTAATTTCTCGCACGTACACAGCTATGTTATAAAAGCAGAATCTACACCAGATATTCAACCACTTGTTCAAGCTAAACTTAAAGTAGCCGCTGCATTGGCTCATCTTGATAATAACAAGTACAAACAAGCTGCTAATTTATTCTTGGAAACTAGTTTCGAAATTGCTCAACCTCAAAGTCAATACTCTGAGGTATCATTTTAAATCAAATGTTGTTCGAACATTCAATATTTATAAATTATTTTTATAAATTTATTTTATAAATTATTTATATTTATTTATATTATATATAATAGGTAATATCACCTAATGATATAGCAATATATGGTGCTCTTTGTGCACTCGCTTCATTTGATCGTAAACAACTTAAAAAGCAAGTCATTGATAACGCTGAATTTAAACAATTTCTTGAACTTGAACCAAATATTCGAGAACTTATTTATGGATTTTATAACTCAAAATATAATGCTGTATTATCAGGTCTAGAAAATTATAAGGTAATTGATTATCATTAAACTTAATTTATAATTTTCATAATTTTCTTTTCCTTTAATACCTTTAATAATAATAATAATAATAATATATCTATCTATTATATTTTATTATTATCATAAAAAATTAGAATGACTTTCTGCTTGATATTCATTTGCACAGTCATGTGGAAACTCTCTATGATAATATTCGTAAAAAGGCTTTGGTACAATATTTTAGTCCCTTCCTTACAGTTGATATGAATAAAATGGCTGAATCTTTTGGTACAACAGTTTCAAAATTGGAAAGGGAACTTGCTAAGCTAATCACAGAAAATCTTATTCAAGCTCGAATTGATAGTCATAAAAAGGTTTTTTGAATTATATTTTTTTCGGTACGAAACTCAATAGAAAATATATATAATTTTTTTTATTGCTTTTTTTTTTGAAGATTTTATGTGCTAAACAACAAGATCATCGAAGTAGCATTTTCCAGAGGTCATCGAAAATGGGGGATGAATTCGAATTAAGCACTAACGCGATGTTACTTCGAATGAATTTGTTAAAAGCGAATCTTGTTGTACAAACGAGTCAAAAGTATGAAATTTTTTTTTAAGATTCTTTTTTTTTTTTATTCCAAATAATTAATGTTTTAATGTTAAATGTTTTATTTCCTCTTATTTATTACATTTCAAAAGGGAAGGTGGAGCTAGACGTCATAATTAATTATGTTGAAAAAAAAAAAAAATAAAACTCATTTCTGATGATTTAATTATTCCGTGAGAAGACACATTTTCAAATATGTAAATTATTAAAATTATTAAATTTGTTGATTTAAACCATCTAGAAATTTCTTGACAGCTTGAACTATTAATCTATGTTCTGTCGAATGTATACGTGTTTCTAAATCATCCAACGTATCAGATTCTAATATTGGGACTTCTTCGATTAGTAATGGTTCTCCTTTATCAACATCAGGAACTACTTTATGTACCATTACTCCAGTATTGGTTATTTCCCCCTTTTTAAAAGCATTGTAAGCACGTTCAATTGCATTCACTCCATCAAAATTATTAGGTAAAGCTGGGTGTAAATTGATGATATTATCAAAATATTTTAAAAAATTAATTGATAAAATGTGCATCCAACCCGCAAGAACTATCAAATCTGGATTGTATTCTTTTATTTTTTTAGCAAGATCCTCGTCATATTCATTTCGAGATTTTCCTGCATCTTTATAAGGTTTTAAAGAAAATATCAATGTTGGAATATTTGCTTGAGCTGCTCGAGTTAATCCATAAGCTGAGCCTCTATTGGAAACTACCAGTAAAATATTACAATCAAGAGTTCCACTTTTTACCGAGTCAATTATCGCTTGAAGATTTGAACCATTTCCAGAAATAAAAACTATAATATTTCTAGTCATTTTTTTTTTCATGTCAAAAAGGTTTGAGATTTATCAACCAATCAAAATGAAATAAATTTTAAAAAAATTATTTCGTCCCACTTAAAACAACTCGTTTTTTAAAAAATTGAGATGAGATGATTCTTATAATTTTTCTTCCCTTTTTCTTTTTTTATTACGATCCGCTAAAGTTAGAATTATGTGTTGACCGGTACATACTTGTATGTAATGGGCTAAAGTATTTTCTGCCAGTCTCCTCTTGCCAGTTGTAATATCGGAGACACTAAAAATTACCATGTGGCTCATCTCTTGTCTCATTAATGCTTGTAACAATCCCGTCAAAAATGTACGCAAATTTACCAAAGGTTCCCAGTGTTGTTTTTTTTTCACAAAGATAAATAAATAATTCCGGAGAAAAAAAAACATTTTGGGTAAATTCCTTTATTTTTATAGAGAATACTAATAAGTTCCATTCGATTTACAGACTTAATTAACATAATTATTTACGGAAAAGGAATTTTAAAGCTTTATTTCTTCATTCATTGTTCTTTTGTATGCTAACCTTACTAATTAAAGAAGTATCCCATAGTCAAAAAAAAAAAGTCGTATAATCGAATGGCATTCTATGTGGATCAGGGTTTTGTTATTATTAAATTCTTATTTAGATGAGGCTGTTCGATGTTCTGTTTGTTTCATTACTCTGTTAATTTAACATTCTTTAAAGCGGGAGGAATTAAATTTAGTTAATGGCCAAAGTGACAAAAATCATTAAAAGTTTTTGTCTTTCGTCCCGTGTTACCTGATTACACAGCCTGGTATATAGTATATCAAGATCGTTTGCATGTTTAGATAATCGCAATAATACGTTAATAGTGAAACCTTTACAATCTGATCAATAAAACCTAAAGTTCACAGTTCTTCATGAGGTTTTTACTATTACACCAAATATAAAATAGGTAATTATATTACTTCAATTGGATCAACATTCAAAGTCAAAACTAATGAAAAACTAAAGCTTACAGAAATAATAATAATAATAATAAAATAAACAGTTTTATTATAATAAAAATAAAATTAAAAGATTTAATTATTAGCTCAAGATACTCAAGCTGCTAATTAGGTATATTGGCTAAAGAACTTTTTTTCAACTAAAAGAATTAACCAAAAAATTTACTTTTTAGCTTTAATAAACATATCAAATGAACCAAGAATATCCCAAATGAATGAAATTGCATATAACACAAAACATAGAACATTAAAAAATATGCTAGTGTTATAAAAATCACACCTAAAAAAATGATGAAAAAAAAATAATGTAAAAAAATTAATTTCAAGAATTTGTTAATAATAATAAAGCAAATATCATTATATAATTAAAACATACCATCCATTTTCACTTCCAGGTTTACAAGAGAAACCTTTGATTAAAAATACCATCAAACAACCAAAACTTATACCTAATGTCAAATCAATTATAAGTAATAACCATCTTTGTATTTTGTTCTTTTTAAACCAACGACGAGAACAATAAAGAATTAAAAAAAATAATGATACAAGTATTGATACACAAGATACAATATATGTAAATATAATTGCAATTTTATTGGCACCATCTGGTGTTGATTTTTTTGAAATCTATAAAAAATATTAAAAAATTAAAAATTAAAAAATATTAAAAAATATTAAAAAATATTAAAAAAATAAAAAATTATTAAAAAATAATAAAAATAATAAAAATTAATTAAAAAAAGATAATTTTTACTTACCAAAGGAGCCCCTATCATAAACATAAGTGCACCAATACTGGCTAAAAATATAACAAATCTAAAAATAAATCTAATTCCATTTGGTCTTCTATATATTTTAACCATTTCAGGAGTAAGTGGATTTAATTTTTTAGGATCAGAAGCTTCAATACCAGGATTAGCTGCCACAGAATTTGTAATATTCTCTGTATTATCATCTTCATCACTTGATGAATCTGATGAATCTGATGAATCATCATCATTATTATTATCATCATTATTATTATACTTTTGATTACCAGAAGTACTATAAGCATTGATACTTGGAACATTTAAACCTCCTCCAGCATATGCATTTGAACTATAACTATCAAAATTATTTTCTGGAATATATGCTGCAGGAGGATTATTTATATTATATTTATTATTTTTAAAAGTATCTACAGGATAAAGTGGAACATTATTTTGTTCATTTGGAGAAGTATATGGACCAGGTATATGAGGTGTGGGAAAGGTTATATGTTGATATTCACCATAAATATTAACATTTGGTGGTGACTGAGAAGAAGGACTATAAAGGTGATTTTGTTGAACACCTCTAGTCCCAGAATCGTCGTCGGTGACAAAAGGGTTGGTATTAGAATATTCGCTAGCCATATTTTTTTTATAATTGAAACAGGAAGAGAGGCTTTTTTTTTTTAATTGTTGAAACCAACCATTATATATCATTATTTTGTATAAAAATGAGGAAATAAGGAAATCTTGATACTATTATGATGAAATAAGATTACACAAAGATCTCACAATGATCCAAAAAAATATCACAATGATCAAAAGATCACGGGAGAATTTGAAGAAAAGTAGACATTGATTTCAAAGATGGATCCAAATGCTAGAAATGCTGTTAATTTAAATGTATTGCGCAGACATGACGATAAAATCGTTGAAATTGTTGATAGTTCAAGTTATGTTGTAGTATATAAATTTGATAATGAGCAGTCCACATGGGTATGTGAAATCGTACACCTAACTTTTGCATTATTCATATTATTGACAGAATTCTTGACAAAATTATTTTTATAGACGAAAAAAGGTGTAGAAGGCACATTGTTCGTTTTTAAAAGGTTAATCCTATTAAAGTTGTATTAAAAATTTTCGCAAAATAATTTCAAATAATTTCCATTAATACTTTATAATCAAAATATATGAAAATAGATGTGCACAACCAGCATATGGCTTTATAGTAATGAATAGATTAGGTATTGATAATTTCATGGCTCCTTTAACTGACAGTATGGAGCTTGAATTTCAAGACGAATATATTATATATCGTACAGATGATGGTATTTGTTAATAGTTTATATCACGAGAATTTGTTATATAGTCCTAACATTTGGTTATAAGAATCTGTTTTGTATATTAGATAATATTCATGGTATTTGGGTATATGAAATAAAAGATAGAGAGAGAATAGAAAGAACGTTACGGGAGTGAGTAAAAATTAATTAAAATATCTCGATATTATTGATTAATTTATAATATATATATATATATATATTTATTTATTTATTTATTTATATTTCTTTCTTTCTTTCTTAAATAGATGTCGGGAATTATCAAAGACCATTAATATACCACCACAATTAGATCAATCACCAAAGTTATCAGTAGAATCGAATAAAATTTCAACTTCTTACGGTAAACCAATAGATATCGTAGATCTTTTACAACAAGCAGAAGTTAAACAAACAAATGGTAGTGCAAATTCACTCTCTCATTACAGTCAACATAGTGACCTTTCACAGAAAGATATACTTGGTGAGTTGTTTCAGAAAGCCAATATTATCGATAATCCAAAACAGACTTTAACACCAACGGTAAGTTTCGTTTTTCAATGTATTATATAGATTATAATAATCTGATATAAAAAAAAAATTTATGCAGACTTCGTATGGAACATCAAACAACAACCTTTTAGACAGAAAAATACTTTTAGATTTGCTTCGGCAGCCCTCAAATGTTTCAAATGTTTCAAATTCTTCAAATGCTTCAATTATTTCAACTGCTACTACAAAAAATCCATATATATCTCCCGCACACGTGCCACCAACACGAAATCTATCATCATCTACAGAAAAGTTATCTTTGGATTCTTATATGAGGAATTCAAGTCATCCATTTACTAGAAATAATCAAAATAATTCGGACATTTCGTTACCAAATCTGTTAAATACACCGGATAATAAGTCATCCACTTCAATGGCTTCAATGGCGTTGTTTGGATCAAATAGTCCAGGATTACAACGAACACATGCTTTAGACGCATCAATTGCTTCTCTTTCGAGATTTTCTGATGAATATGATCGACAGATAAATCGAGGGAAAAAACTATTAAGCAAAACCGAGTTCGCTCAAAGATATTTATATTTAATTCAGGTAATTTGATTATTTTTTACTAAATTTAATAATAAAAAATTTCATTAAAATTTATTAAATTTATTTATAGAATGATCCATCTTTCATGGATATTCTTTATCAAAATTATATTGTCAAAACACATGAGAATATATATAGTGGATCTTAACCGAAACAAAAAAAAAACTTTTGAGTAATGTAATAATTTTACAATCACATAATTGGAAAATTTTAATTTTAATTTTCATTAAAAAGAATAAACGCATTTTTCACTTTTAATATTCTTTTTTTTTTGAGTAACAATTTCTTTGAATTTCATTTTAACAGTGTGATCTATAATCTATGAAAAAATACAAAGAACCGCAAATGAACTTTCTAAAAATAAAAATTGATAATATGCATACAGAAGATAATAATAATAATGATGATGATGATTTAAAATAAATAAAGCAAAGATAAAAAAACTACATTTTTTTCTTCTACTATATCTAAATGATTATTAAAGGAGTTTGTATCATAAAGCAATTAATTAAAAATTCCGAATAATTAAAGTTCATTCAAATTTCATAGCACAAATGCAATTCATTAAAATCCATTGAAATCTATATACCATTTTTGTTCTAGTAAAAAACTTTCAAATTTCTTTCAACCAATCTGATTCTATTATCAGAAATTATAAAAACAAAGATGCAAAGTTTGTCTAATGTTATAATACAATAATATATTTACTAATTTGAATGCAAATCAATGCCAATAAGAAAACCTCCTAATTATCAAAAGAATCTCCTAATTTTCGCGAAGCCATGGGTGATTTAAGACATCATCAATTTTGGGACGTTTATCGACGTCACGGTCAAGCATCTTCTTTATGAGATCAATTGATCCCTCGGAAAATATGTAAGGAATTCTGAGATCTCTGGCAATAATTTCATCGATATTATAAAAAGGGTTCTCTTTGTAGATAAGAGTATATAATAAAATACCCAATGCCCAAATATCTTGTGGGTGACCATCATATTTCTTTCCAGTTAAGACCTATAATAAATTAAATGTTAATGAATAATATTTAAATTATTTAATTATACATAGAAAATAATCAAAAAAAAAAACCTCTGGTGCAGCATAATCGATAGTTCCGCAGAAAGTATCATATTTTCGACCAGGCTTTATATATGCGCTAGAACCAAAGTCAATTAACTGTATATTGCCGTATTCATCAAGTATCACATTCTCGTCTTTAATATCTCGGTGCACTATCCCGTGATGATGCAAATGTTGAATAGCAAGAGCAACTTGTCTGAATATAGACTTTATCTCGGATTCGGGAATAGCATTGTTTAATTCGATGTAATCAAATAAATCCATGCCAACACCGTGTAAACCCATTTCGATATAGTAATAATCATCATCCTCGAAGTAATCAACTATAAAGCATAATCAATAAATAAAGAGTTCAATTTAAAAAAAGACGATAGATTGAAAAAAAAGTATTTACCCATTTGTACAATATTAGGATGAGGAATACGTCTTAAGGTATGAAGGATATGAATCTCCAATGGTACTGTTCCGAGGGTTTTGTCACGTGTCCAACAATCCACGAGAATTTGGGATTTCACTACATATTTAAGTACTACTTTTTTCTATAATCGTCAAAAATATGAAAATAATATTATATTAGTAGGTCAATACGTTATTTAAACAATACATAGTTTTGTATAAACTCACTTGTTCTGGATCATTCTTATTGTATGCCAAATTAACCTGACCGTATGCACCTGCTCCTAACTTATCTAGTATTTTAAAATCGTTTACAGTTTTTTTCAATGTTATTGCCGAATACTGATTCGGATCAATATATTCAGGGGTTGGTGATATTAAGGGTGGCACAGATATTTGTCCGTTAACAGATGATGAACCGACTGAAAGCATCGGTTTTCCACCCGCTTCGATGAATTTCGATAGAGGAAATTTCTCGTCCTCATCACCGTTAGCTTTTTCATTGTTGACGTTATTAATTTTTCTAGGTATATCCGCAGGTGGTAGAACAAGTGGCTTATAAACATTATCATCATTCTGTTCTTTTGCGAAATTGGCATTACGATCATAGGTAATCCATAAAGCATGCAAGGGTTCATCAGGCGATTCAACCACACGCATTTGAATATCTACGTCTAACTCTGTACCATCTCTATGCACCGCAATAATACCAGAAGATCCTTGTCCAGTTATTGTAGAAGATGAGAAATCCTTTGGATGGTTATAAGGAAGCAAATCATTTTGTGGAACAGAAATCATTGAAGCTGCACGACGAAAGGCGCTTTCAGAGATAACGATTCCTTCAACAAGAGGTCGTTCAGAAGAAAGAATTTCGATGAATCGAGGGAATTGTGGCAATAATGATTTAATGCGACGTTTTCCGATTAATTCTTGTGCTCCAACACCGAAAAGATACTTGACAAAATCAGTATTACATGACTGAATTATCCCAGTTGAATGAGTAGTTATAACACCTGCTATAGTAGGTATAGAAATAATTTTGAGTCGATATATGATTGAAGAATGATTCTCTTGCTGGGATTCCTCAGGAATAGATTGCGTAGATATTTTTCCAATGATTGGAAAATTGGCACCATTCTTTGATCGGCTACCATAAAATTTTATTTTGTTTATTTTGTCAATATCCAATCGAGTATATAATGTAGTTAAATCCACTGTATCTTCAATATTCGTATCATCTGCTTCGTTAAATCGAACGGTTTCCAACGCCGGGATTAAAGTGGTAACACACTTCCCTATAATTTCTTCGGGTGAAAAACCGTATAAAGCCTTTACGTCCCCATGTGATTTTTGAATTATGCCCTGAAATGTAACAACATATTTTCATAAAGCTAATAAATTAACAAAATTTTACAATTTATACAATTTATAGACAAGTATGCATTAAATAATACCTTTTCGTCAATTTCAACTGTCATAGTAGTTTCAATTATTTCTTCGAAAATCCAAATGAAAAAGGAATTCCCAAATTCATCCTTTTTAACCTTAAGCCACAATGAAGCAGCAGATGTTTCTTCATTTTTTCTTTGTATCGGAATCTGATGAAGTAATAATATGGTAAAATGGTGAGAAATTTTTTCTTTGATCCCATAAAACTCGGTTTTTTGTTATCCGCACTATGCACGTCTCGCTAATAACGTATAATACCCCTAACAGAAATTTTCCGGATTTTAAAATACCCAAGATACTAATGGGCACTAATACAACGATATAAAGTAGGGAAATCGATTGAAATTATGACAGTAATAAAACGATACGTACGACTTTACCACAAGCCAATACAGCTTCACAATCATGATCATCTTGAGGTCTTGAAGCAAGCGCTTTTTCTTGTTTTTCTCGAAAAGGACTAGCAATCAGATCCAATGCCTTAATACTTAATATTTCAGCTCTCGAATACCGAAATATCAAGCAAGCAATATCATTGGCATTTAATATGTTGCTCTGACTATCGGTTGTTATAATAGCTTGATTTTGAGGGGTGAAACGTGTTGGTGAATGTAGAGCCGAAGCCGGATTTATAGACGTGTATAATGAGGGGAGATTGGTTAAGGCATGCTTAAATTTACGAGAAACACTTGAATCAACATCGTTGCCCGCTTCTTGTGGAAGTATGATATCTTTTGAATGATCAGCTGTGACCTCCATAGATGAGAATAGGGCTTGTTGTACGGGGATTTTCCACCCCTTTATCTTATTCTTCATGAAATCTATTGAGCGACGAAGTATGTTTTGTCTACTTTCCAGCATTGACGCATCACTTGTAACGAAGCTAAAACTATGCAGAGATTCAGTAGAAAATCTGGCCATATCTAAATGATGTATGATTTTTATTTCGTTTGACATACTCGAATCATTTGACATTGACCTATCGTCTCTTAATCTCTTTAATCCCGTCGATAAGACCGTATCTTTGTTCATCAAATCTTGATTATTTTCCCTAATAAGAAAAAATGAATAAAAGACAAATGGTGAACAGAAAAGCCAGGTATACAAATACTCGAGTAATAAAGACACTCACTTCAGATATTCTTCCAAATTAACAGTTTGATATGGTGTTTCTATTTGTTTAAAAGAAAGTAACTTTAAGTTTAAATACAAGAGGTTGAACATTCGTAAAATTGATAAAGTTACCTGTAACTCTCGTCATTTTGGATATTTTACTAAAAATATGAACCTGAGTCAATGAGGCTATTCACAAAAAAAAACTTGGGACGTAAACACTGCAGATTCAAACTTTTTATATCACGTATTCGCCCAATAATCATCTGACTTTCCGCAATCATGTGACTTTAGTGTATGCATTTAGAAATTAATTCGGTATAGTGGAAGTTCATTCTTCGATTTTATTGGTCATTTACTGAAAAATTCCTGGTTACATGCTTTTTAAAATTTCTTTTTATAGCTTTTATAGATTAAAAATCAAAGCCACAACAATTTGATCTTAGATAATTGATAATTTGTTTAATTTATTTCGGAAATAATTATCAATTTCGATGACGCAAGTTTCATGACAAATAAAAGCTAAATCAAGTATAAATAATCTAAACGGTTTCGGATTATCGAAATTTTCAATATCACAATTGTAATTAATTAAAAGTAAAGGCACCAAAAAATTAGTAATAAGATTTATCCAAAAAAATTTTTGATAAAGCAGTGTCTGTATTAACTTAAATAAGACAGTAAAGGATCAGATAATTTTTCAGTTTTGTAGATTGAGGTAGTAACAATTAATAAATTCCAATAAATTCACTTCTTTATAGTCACCATTTTATCGGTTATCAATACTGGCAACAAAGATTCTTCTAGAGCTTGACCTTTTTAATATTTTTGAAACCAATGACAAAAAAAACTTTTGTAATAAATTTCTTTAATTTTTTTTTCAATAATTCAGAATTGGATTGAATATTTTATTGGTCAATCCATAAAAATTTAGGAGTTAATAAGGTTAGGATTACATAATAATTATTTTATTCATTTAATTATTTTCAATATGTACTTTTTCCAATTCCAAAGTATAGAACATCCTGGTATAAAACCAGTTGATATAAAAATTGACTGTTATATTAAGAATCTTAAAACAATTGTTGTTTTCAAAAGAGGTAATAAAAAAAATAGTACAAATATTACTTGATAAATGCATAGATAGTAAAGTTCCAAACAGTCAACTTGTCAACTCATATATGACTTGCATAATATAAAATACTATAATCCATATATCAAATTTTTTATATGAAATTTCAATTTGTTTAATTTGTAATCAATTTGTTAAAAACATTAATAAATAATAATAAATTATTGTAATTTAAAAAAAGTAGCATAATCAATTATGATATGATATAATTAATTAAAATATATAATACAATTAGTTACAACTGGTTACAATTTCTATAAATAATTACCATAGGTATCTTTAGATATAAGTGAACTTTGATATTGACTTTTATTGAAATACAAATATTTTTTAAGTTGTTAGAAGATCTTTTAACTCAAGTTTACTTTTTTATCACTTCTAATTAACTTAATACTAACCTTACTGAAGTATAGATAACTTTTTATATCACTAGGATAATTTTTTAAATACTAATGTTTTGTGTTTGCTTTTTTATCACAGTCAAATATAAAAAAAAATAGATGATGTAAATAGAAATTCTGATTTAGGATAAAATGAAATGGTTAATTTTAACTATTTTATCCGTTCTATGAATAGACTCTATAAAAACTACGATATTTAAAATATACCTGCCACCCAAATTCAAAATCCAAATGCCGAAATCCCAAATGCCGAAATCCCAAATCCCAAATCCCAAA